ATTTGGCTTTTTCTCCCGAGGATGTGTTTGAGAGCTCTCACATGTGGATGGAGGCAGAGACAGCTGGGAGGACCAGAGCTGGTAACTTGCTCTGGCTGATGAAGAGTTTCTTGTTCCCGAAAAAAAGAAAAACAAACAAACAGGAGATCCAATATAGAGATACTGCTCAAACACGTGAGGGCCTGGGTGGTGGCAAGTCTGGGATTTACGATAATGCTGCAACCTAGCCTCAGTGATTTGCTGGGTTTGGTTCCCAGAGTTCAGGGTGCTTCAAAGTGCTCACATTACAGAGCTGCTCCTGGCCTGCATTTTGCCAGGAAATAGAATTAACTTCCTTTTTCTGGTTTCTGCTCAGAGAAAAAGGAAAATCATGTGAAATGTTCAGTTGCAGAGGGCCAATATATAAAGATTGTGTACTGATAATGGAGACTGATACAAGGTGCATTTTAGATATTCTCCCCTCACACTTTTATTCTAAAATTGGATGTTGGCAAAAGAATAATGAGTTGTGTGTGCAGCTGATGCTGGTTTGCATTTGTGTTTGTGCTCTGAGAGGTAAGGGGAAAGAGAGGCATTCCTTATTCTTATGCTGTTTCTCCCTCTTCTTTCTCATCACTTCTCTCCCCAGCTGGTGACCGTGGTACACACACTCCCGTCCCTGACAGTATGTGAGGAGAGCTGGAAGCCAGGGCAAGCTCTCAGGTGACTCCTATACAGGTTTTGGGGGTGCCCTGGCCACTGAGCTGCATAGCAGGGGTGTCGCTATAGGACACGAAACAGCACAAGCGCACAACACTGCTGCTTTCAAGGTGAAGAAAAGGTAAGTTTATTTTCTGACTTTAGCATTTATAGTTTTCTAAAAGTGACAATGGATTGGAGGGTGAAAGTGCCACCCCTCCAATGACACTGGACAAACTAACAATCTATCAAATTTCTCAAATAAAAGAATGCAAAACAGTAAGTTATTTACAGAAAGTGTGTGAGAAAGTTTGCTACAAGAATGTTAACATCAGAAGGCTTAGAAAATCTTAAAAAATCAGGGCGACACAGGGGTGCCCCTTTCCCTGGCTGCAGCAGCACCTTTGTCTCTTCCCACCATGCTCAAAGTGTCCTTCTGGTTTTGTTTTCTTTACTTATTTTTGGCTTTGAGGTTTCCTTTCAGAATAGCTTCAGGGCATGAAAATAGGACGGCGTGGCCTCAGCCCTGCAGTGTGCCGGGTAGGGCAGGAGCACTCTGCTCTGCTCATTTACCGCTCTGCAAAAATAATAACTAAATTTGGACTTAGGACCCATGTCAGCCTGAGCCAGACAGGGACACTCTGACCCTGAGATCCTCAGGGACTCAGGCAAGTAAGTACACCCAAACTGTACAGGGTACCCTTGCTGGGTGCAAGCTGCGGCACAAAGCTGCAGCCAGTGGCTGGTGCAAACCCCGCCTTCCACTAGACCACGTTGGTTAAAACCCCATCCTTTGGAGGCAGATAAGCTGTTCTATGTTTTGTTTCCAGCAAGATGATATCACTTCATAAAGCTTTCAAAGCCTGCATTCACTTTTAATAACAGATTCCTTTCAGATAAAAGGGTGATCACTCCAAGCCCTGCCACCTTGGAGAGACGGAGTTCTTGCAAAAGCATTGGGACCAATACTCCCGGCTCGCCATGTGATGATTTTAGAGTAGTAATAGAAAATAAATTTCAAATGGAAATGTTTAGGATGAACTGGCTGAGCTCCTTGCTGGTTTTCCACCATGGTGCCGTTGAGGTTGCTGCTGCTGGTAGCCTGCCTGGGCAGCACCCGCTCCAGGAGCTAAACATAGGTGCTGGCTGCACAAGGCACTTCAGCACACGTTAATTATCCTGGTGTTTTTTAGGGATCTTGGGTGAAACATGTGTTTTTATAGTCAGTTTTCCATATTTTTTTTAAGCAGCCTGGAGTAGAAGCCCTTTAATTACATTAAAAATCACCTCCCACCAGGACTCTCTGTTCCCAAGCCCTGATGAAATTTTAAGCTCAAAGCCAGGCACTTTGCTCACTGCTTTCCTAGGCCAGGCAGCTTAGGACAGCAGGGGACAATGGGAAGCAGGGCTATCTATCTCTGCCCTGAATGCCTAGCAGGGCAGCCCCTCCAGCTGCTCCTGCCCCATGGAGATGGGGGAACATGGGAATCCTCATCCTCATCCTCATAAATGCTGATCTCTATCTTTGTCAGAGGCTGCTGCGTTGGCACCGAAGAACTGCATGGCTGAGGTGTTTTTGTGGGTTTTTGTTTTGGGGTTTTTTTTGTATTTTTTTTTATTATTATTGGGTTTTGTTTTGTTTTGTTTTGTTTGTTTGGGGTTTTTTTTTTGGGTTGTTTTTTTTTTTTTTTTTTTGCGTGGCTTTTCCTGGCACAAGGCGTCAGCTGAAAGCCACAGCCAGCTACAGGCCTCCCTTATAATTAGGACTCTTCACAGTCACAAAAGGGGCTTTGAAGCCCATGGAGCAGCTGTGCCCTGCAGGCCCAGGGGGTTGCATGGTGGGTATGTGGCATGGTCTGCTGCCAGGGGTGTTGGACCATTGGGGGACTATGGGGGACCTCTCCCTCCTTAGAAACAACTTATGTGTGTAGTGCTCCATCAGCAATTATCAACTCCCCATCATGTACCTGTCAATGATGGGCTCCCCTGCGTGTAGTTGAGGCTGGTTTTGCCCCTAGTTTTGAGAAGAAACATCCAGTCATTTCATGGCAAAGTGGATTTTTCTGTCCTAAATAACCATAGTTTTACCACTGGCTAAGCTGACCATTACAGATCTGCCTGAAAGCATTTATTTTGCAGCACCTCTCTTCCTTCTCCTCGGGCTGTCGGTCTGAAAGCATCAAGTGGGAGTTGCAGCTCTCCTTGCCACTGTGGAAAGCAGAGTTGCATTTGGTGAATAGTCACTCCCTGAACTGCTGTAGCTTAGGGGCCTTTGCTGATGAGTACAAGAAAAATCCGGGAAAGAGGGAGCAGAGGTGCACTGGAGAGCTGGGCGGATAAAATCCGAGCAGGAAATGATAAATATAGGTAAAGGAGAGAAGACATCCCTGTAGAGGTGGGCGCAGGGGGCAGCATCCACTTGCTGTATCCTGTCACTAAGGTCCCCAGTGTGATTTGAGTGCACGTGTGGGTGGGATTTTTTCATTTCCTCCCCCCACTCCCAGGAAGTTATTCTGCTTTGCTGGGGACATACACAGATTTCAGCTGAGCAATGCCTGATTTTTGAGAGCAGGGGACTGGGCTGGCCCCTGTGTGGGTCTGCGTAGTTTGCAGGGCATTAGAAACAAAGCAGACCTGTATTTTGTAGCAATACCGGGGCATAAATGGCTCTCAAAGGGGCACTGAGAGACACCTGTATCTGAGTCCCCTTTTCTTTCCCTTCCCTTACCAAGGCCTCTGCAGGCATCCTGGAGAGGGATTTTTTTTTGGATTTAGCTTTTTTTTTGGTCTAACGGCTCTGCACAAGTGGCTGTGGGGCTGGGTCTTTGAGGTCGGTCTTTTTGTCTACTTGAAAAAACAGTGACAGGATTTCCCAAAAAGGGAGGTGGACACCCCCCAGCAACATATTTCCCAATATTTATTTTAATTAAAACCCAGAGCGTTATTATACCCTCGGCCTCCCAGCCGCACATCTGAGGCCAGACCCTCAATTAAGCGGCGCAGTGCAAACCTCTTTGGGTTTGGCAGCGGTGTGGGGTGCTATGTTTGTGCACCAAATCTGCCAGCGTTGAAGTTTTGGAGGGGTTTTGGTGCATGCTGGAGAGCTGGCGTCACTCTGGGCAGGGCGGTGACTGGTTTAGGGGGGGCAAAGCCAGACCTTATATCCCAGCGGGGCAGCAGCAGAAGGAAATCTCTGCCGGCTGACTCCATGGTTAGCTCTCACTGCTGGGGCAGGGTAAGCTTGCTGCTGCTTTTCTCAGTTAGGTTGTGCATTGATGTCTGCTTTTTGCAGGGAGATGGGAGGGTCAGCTTGCTGGCAGGATTGGGGTGCTGCTTTTAGTCTTTTCCTGGATCTGTGGCTTCATGAAGTGCTTGGGTGGAGGGGATAAGAATCCAGAGCCTTGCTGCAAGGTCAGAGAAACTTGTGGACACTTGTTTTATAGCCTGAATTAAGCAAAACTTGGGAAACTTCAAGCACAGATAAATGTAAGAACAATTCCCTACAAGAACAGCTGATACTGGGTTTAGGCAGAGGAAGGGTAGGAGAAAGCCTGACTGAGCTCAGGGGGATGCTGGGAGCATTGTTCCCTGGGGGAAGGCTGGGGTGATGCTGGAAACGATTGGGTGTGCTCCTTTCTCCTTGATGCATGAGGGCAGGCTGTGTTTTGGTGCTTTGGGTGTGCAGCTCAGACCTGCCTAGAGCTAAGTCCCCTCCAGCTGTGCCTCTGAGGGGCTCTTTGCACTGGTGCCTTGCCACTGCTGTTTTTACCAATGGCAGCCTGTGAAGCCAATTGCTTCCATTATTTGTTTGCTTGTTTGTTTTTCCTCAGTGAGGTTACACTGTCTGTGGTGTAATTCCCAGGAGCAACTGCTTCCCGGGCAAAGCCCAAGCAGGTCTTGGAGCTATGGAAGGGCGGCCACGGCGGGCAGTGCTCCCAGCTGCTCCTGTTGCATCTCCAGTGGGGCTTGGCTTTCTCCCCTCCCTTAAGGGCAATGGGGAAACAGGAATAAGTCATCCTTCTCCAGGAAAGCTTTGAGTTCACTACATGGTGAAACTTGCTTTTCTGGTATATTGTGGCTTCTAGAAAAAACAAAATGTATTAATGGAAGTTGAGGCAGATCTTTTAAAAAAAAAAAGAAAAAGAAAGAATTTGGTCTATGGAGGGGTTGGGTGACCTCACCAGGGAAGGCTGGAGGTCAGCCTTTCTTCTCCCCAGTCACCCACGTGGACACAGACACGTGGATGGTTTGGAGTGGTGTTGGTGCTTTCTAGCTGAAAAGCAAGCCCTCAATGTGTTTCGGTGTTCCTAGAGACAGCAGCCATGAGGAGTGTCCTGGTGTTTGTCTGCCTGGTGGGAATGGCGTGCACCTTCTCGGTGAGTGCCAGCTGAGGGGGGACCCCCTGGCCTTGCCAGGGCTGGTGTGGGGCAGGTACCAACTCCCCCTTTCCCCCAGGTCAAGAGCTGGCTGCGGAAACCCAAGTTGGATGACTCAGAAGAGAATGCGGTAGGGTGTCCCCTGTGCCTAGTCCCATACAGGGCTGATCTTGAGGAAGAGCACATTTTGGTAGCTCCTGTACCCAAGGCCCCAGACTGATGGGATTTCCCCCCTCCTTCTCCTGGTAGGTTTTCAAGAGCCGGCACCGGCATTACCTGTACAGATACATCTACGTGTATCCCCCGCAGCGACGGTACCAGGTGGGTGGTTCCGAGGGGTTGCTGCTGCTTTGCTGCCCTCCAAATGCAGAGATTTTGGCCCAAATGAAATGGGGGCATGGTCTGTGCCCTGTTGGCATGGCCTGTAGGCCTGGGCACAGAACATTGTGCTTATGACACCACTGGGAACCCACCCACCCGCCTCCAACTTGGTTTTTCCTCTTAGGGTAGTGACTCATCTGAGGAAGAGGGGGATGGCTCGGAGGAGGAGGAAGAGGGGGTGAGTATGGCAAACCAGCACTCTGCAAAACAAATACAGGAATTTGGGAACTTTCTTTGGTTTTGTAGTCTTTGCTCATCAGCATTTGTGGTCACTGACTTCCCACAGGCTTGCACTCTGGATACAACTGGATTTTCTACTCTGGACCTTGGACCTTTTTTTTTTTTTTTTTTTTTTTTTTTTATTTTCCTTTTTCTTCCTGGGCAGGGGTTGCACCAAACAACCCTGAGACAAATTCTCTGGGTTTCCATTTCCAATGGATCAGAAAGCAGGACAGGCCAAAGAACAGAACCAGAGAGGTTCACACAAGGAAGAAGGTGCTCTTAGGAACTCCCCTTACCCTCATCTTTCAGGATCTGTTACCCCTGTAACACTGAGAATACCCCTACGGAAAACCCAGTTATGCTCTGCATGTGTGTCTGTGGAGTGACACAAACTGATGCAATATTGGGAAAGTCAAATTTGTATCAGTCAGATGGTAAAGCTGCTCCTGTCTGCTGGATCAGTGTGAGCTTGGGCACCTCTGGAGCTGTGAGAGCAACCCAGGTCCAAAATTAAATGGAAGGGATTACAAAGATCTTTTGTACCTTATTGGGCTGCAAATGCTCAAAAATGGTCCAGTGGTCTCAGGCACATTGGTGCTTTGAAATAAGAATCTGGAATGCTTAGAATCCTGTGTGTCACACTTAATCAAGTCTTTTATTTTTTTCTTTTTAAAAAGTTATTTAATGAAAGCAAGGAGTCTGGTTTTAAACCCCGCTTTGGAGGCCTGTCAGGGCTTGGGATATAGCATAGGGTCGCCCCTGTGCCAGCTCTGGCACCCCCTGCAATTTGCCCCATTTTAGCTGTTTCTCTCCCCTACCACTGCAATCTCTAAGGATAAATTTGAGCAGTGGGGTGGGTAGCAAAAGGTGGAATTTCATTTCTCAGGAAGAAATTAACTGGTATGCAGGAATGTAGCTGCTCTTTAGGTCTACCCTTTTCATTTTGAGGGCACCAGAGCCGTGGCTGCTCTCATGCAGGGATGTGCCTTCACTGGCAGAGTGGTCAGCAAGATGAATCATGCTGAAAGGCCCCAAGGTCAGTTATGTAAAAAGCATTATAAAGCATATCGGTTTGTAAAAAGCACTATATTGGCTGCTGTATAGGGAGCATCACTTCCACTGGCACAGCTGGCTGCACTGTGCAATTTGATGGCTCTCCTGTTGCAGAGGAGAGCATCCTGGATTTTCTCTGCCAGCACGTGCACCTGTATTTCAAGGTCTGAGGTGGCCCAAAATGCCAGGGTAGGTGTCCTTGGTCTTGGTGTGTGAGCAGCAGAGACTGCCCAGGGCAGCGATGACACTGACCTCAGGTCTCCCTGGCGTGGCTGGGCTCATGTGCTGGTGCCAACAGCTCCACCTCCCAGGCTGGGCCCTGGGTGAATTGCCCCACCAGCTCCTCAGTGTCTGCTTCAGGCTCTGTTTGCATTTGGGTTATTCCTTACCCTTCTTTTAGCCGTGCACCCCACTGTGAGCCCCGCTCTGCTGCTGATCTCTGGGGCCAAGTGTTGCCAATGGCTGATTGCTGGTGGGGTTTGGGCTCACGCCTGGCTTTGAGCCATCACACTCTCACTGACCGTCCGCACATGACATGCAGTGTGTCTGCATGTAGTGTGCCTGTGGCTTTCTTTGTTTACTGGAAACTGGGGAGGTAACTTCAGAGGAAAACCTTTAGATGCTTTGCAAAGCAAAACTTGGAGCCAGAATGGGAACATCCCACTCCACCACGTAATTGCACAGCTCCATCTGCCCTGCTGCAGCTTCTACATTTCAGCCTGGAACTAGACCTGTGAGAAAGCAGGGAACTCGGAGCAATGCCCAAATGCTCTGTGTGGATGCCCTGTATCCCTCTCACTGCGGGGAAGCCTGTGCTCCACTCCAGCTGCTGATCCCCTGCCCTGTCCTGTCCCTGTCCTTGTAGGAGCCATTTTATGCTGGAACCAAGGCAGCTGGACACCCTGCTGGAGCAGCCCCTGAGGACTGCCAAGTTGCACCGGGAGGAGACATCACATCCCCCCAGCAGGTGTGGTTTGGGGAGATAGAGGGAGCACCCATGGGGTGCTGTTCATTGCATGTTTGCTCGTACCCATGGGATACCCTGCACTCTGTTTCTGCTTGGAGGGTTGCTGTGGAAATACCTATAGCTGGACCAAGCTCTGGGCATTAACTTGGGTTTGGAAAGGGTACCCCAAAAAGACAGTCCTGACATGAAGGGTGCGGGGGATAGCTCAGCTGTGCCCATACCTTCCCCTTTCCACATGGAGCTACAAGCTCCTGACATCCAAGTAATGCTGTGCTGTCTTCCCTCTGCCAGGGCAAGGGCTGCCAGAGGATCAGGCAGAGAACTGCCAGCAAGGGGGAAGACTCTGAAAATGAAGACAGTGATGAGAATGAGGAGGAAGAGGAGGAAGACGAAGTAGATGAGAATGAGAATGGTGTCAATGGCACAAGCACCAACACCACAGAGGGTATTGGACCTCATGGCAATGGCACTGTGGTGGTTGAGGAGGGCACTGGTGAAGCTGAGGAAGAGGAGGAAGAGGAGGAGGAAGAAGAAGAAGAAGAGGAAGAAGAGGAGGAGGAGGAAGAAGCTGAAGCTACCACCATTGCAAGCACCACCAATGAAGAGGGTCTGATACAGGCAACCACTATGGATGATGGGGGACCCACAGATGTCACCACAGATGCCACCACAGCTGGGGAGCTGTGGGAGTATGATGTGACAGCCAGGGACCACAGCCGGGGGGACGAGGGCGTCACTGAGGGTGGGTATGAGGAACAGGATGAGTATGCACGTGGGGACAGCTACCGCGCTTATGAGGATGAGTACGGCTACTACAAAGGGCACGGGTACGATGTGTATGGCCAGGATTACTACTACAGCCAGTGAGCACAGCCCTGGTGCTGTCCCTGTCAGCCCCAGACACTCAGGAAGGTGCATTCGAAGGCTCCCTGGAGCCACCGCATGCCAGAGGGGATGCCAGGCAGCTTGTCATGCACAGGCTCCATCCCTGGCTCCATCCCAGGCTTTTTTTTTGTATCTTGCAAAATGAAATGAAATGAAATGAAATGAAATGAAATGAAATGAAATGAAGTGAAATAAAGCAACTGAACTGAGCTTGTTGGTGACAAAAGGTTTGCTGCCAAATTTTCTGTGGTCAGTGGAGGAGCGCAGCACTTGGGAAGGGGCTGAGGGGCTGCAGTTGCCCATGATGCTTAGGGCTGAATCTTGTTATTCCAGTTCAGATGCACATGAAAGGAGGGAGGAATAGCAAGGCTAACTTGGAAGGCTTCTGTAGAGTGCCCTCTGAAAAATGAAAGGGTGCTCTTAGGGACACTGCTGTGGGATTACAGCCTTGTTTTACATAAAGTTGATGTGAATTTCCAATACGTGAGCAGTGATAACTTTATCATGTCTTCTATTCCTTGGGAATGTGCCTCCCATGGCCTGACCACACATCAGGCAATTTTAATAAGGGCAAAACCACTAATTTCTCTTTCTGTGCATCTGTAGACACACACCCCTGTAATGAGGGCTTTGCTTTGTCCCTGCACCAGACATAAGGGTATGAGGCTGGGCAACTTGGATGTGTGTCTTGAACACCAGTACTGCAGCCCAAAATGTCCCTGTCACACAGCCCCATTCCCAGAGCAAGGTAAGGCTGTCACAGTGACAGTGGTGCATCCACTCCCCTCCTTCATCAGCGATGGCGATGCCTAGCTGAGAGTCCTCAGGATCCCTGCTCAGGGTCCCTTCCCAACAGGAGTATGTCCCTGGCCAACTGGTGATCTGCACTATGGATAGGGATAGAACAAATCCCTCTGGGTTCCAGAGAGATGCCACCGTCTGGGAATAGTGATGGCCTTCATTCACAGTTTATGGCAGGTACCGTGCTTCACTTGTACTCCTAGGAAGGAAACCTGAGTTCAGCTTCTGATGCAGGTCCAACTGCAGAACTAGTCTATTCCTGCAGCAACAAGTCACTGGCCATTGTACAAAACTGCTTCTGTATGCCAAAGCCAGGCTGCAGCTTCTGGGGAGGCAGTAGGTGCTGCCTGCAGCATGGGCACCCCTGGGGACAAATCCCTACGGCAGCACTGAGGAGCCCTGCGTGCACTCGTGGCTGGTGCAGGGACACAAGAGCTCCATCATCCACATCCCCAGGGGGTGCTCTGCTGTGTCAGGAAACTGGCATGGACAGAGCCCTGGCACTGCCAGGGGCCAGGTCCTGCTCCTACAGGGCACTTAGCCCAGTCCTGTGTGCGTCAGCCCCCCAGGCATCTGGCAAAGGCTCTTCTCCAGGAGCCAGGGCACATGGGCTGGCTGCCCTGTGGGGTGGCATCTGACTGCCACTCCCTGGCCAGTGGCTAGGGTCAGTTTCCTGCTGGCTCCAGGATTTGTTCCTGCTTGAGGCTGAATGCTGATGGCTGAAACATTTCTGGTGCTAACGTGGGCGTTGTGCCAGCTCCCAGGGTTTGGGTTAGGGCAGAATGGAGTGGGATGGGAGCTGCTGCCACCACCACAACAGTGACTGCCTGAGCCAGGCTGGCTGCAGCAGTGGGAACCTTTCTTGGCAAGGGTGTAGGTGACCAGCAATGCCACCAAAAGTATAGGTGGAGAGAAGGAGGGTTTGTACATTGTCCACACCCTTGTAGCACTTCTTTGTAATGGAGTAGGGCTCAAAGGGACCTGTGCAAGCAGTGCATGGAAAAACATACATATTTTTTTCTTTTTTGCCATACGTATTTCTTCTCTTTTGTGCTTGCACAGGTTTAGCTCAGAGGGGCTGAGGTTGAAACCCAAAAAGCAAGTGTCAGAAGACACAGCATGGTGAGGCTCTCAGTTTGGCCAACACTGCCCTTCTATGCCAAAGGGCCGGGACCAGGCCTGGCTCTGGATCTTGCCCTTCCATTTCTGCAGCCCTACCAGCTTTCCCATGTTGGTCACAGTGAGCAAGCCAAGACCCACTGCACACCCTCTTATCAATAACCAAGCTGGATATGTGCCACACTAAGATCTGCACTAATCATTGAGCAATTTTGCCTTCAGAACAGATATTTATAAACTGTGCTTTCTGTTTATCCAGCCAGGTGGAACATTTGATAGCTGTCTTTTACCACAAACACATTTTTAGCTGGAAATTACTCCCCCTGGTTATCTGTGAGCACTGCCAGAGCTGACAAATGTCCCTGGGCAGGAGCTGATTGGCTCTGTGCACCCGGGGCCAACTTTAAATTTCAGCAAAGTGGGCACAGGCTCCACAGTCTGCCTTTGGGACCTGCCTCCAACAGGAAAAGGTAATCTTCTTACCTAGCTTCCTGCCCTCTCTCTCCCTAGCCCTTCAGCTCTGCTGTCCCTGAGCAGGGATTCTCCTGCTTTCACTCTGGGCAAGCCACAGTGGGGATGGGGACATCCTGATCCTTGGCTGTGCACATCTCTTGAGCTTACGTTGCTTTTGTACTGCTGATCTTTGTGCATGTATTTCCTTCTGGTGTTCCCTGTAGCAATACTGGTATGGCTTCAGTCTCTGGGATGGACCTGCGAGCCCAAGCAAGGGTGGTTGGGTGAAATGAGAATTGGCCAATGGAGATATTGCCTGCTGCTGCCATTTATCAGTGCTGTGAAAGCCTAAAGCCTGCTGCTTTCTTGATTCGAATTTATGAACAGCTTAACTTGCAGCAACTTTAGGGGACCATTTATTACAAATATCCACCCAAGCTGCTTTGACAGAGGAAGTTAGGCAGTTTTAATAGCCAGTGTCAGAGCTCCCACTTGGAGCTGCTGGCTGTGCCCTAAGCACATGGTGAGAGCATTGCCCTTGTTGCGAGGGATGCAAAGAGGCAGGACAATGCCAAGGACCACCACAAAGCCTGGGAAAAAACAGGGTGACTGCAAAACCCTGTTGCCATGGGAACTTTGGGATAGCAGGAGCTTTTAGGTTGCTGCTAACCAGGATTATTGAGGACCACAAGTCCCAGGAATACAAACTGCAGCAATGCTTCACTTTGTACCTCCAGGAGCAGCCCAAGATGCAAACATCCCTTGCCTGTCTGTGCCTGTGCCTGCTCAGCACAGCCTTCACCACACCTGTAAGTATGGCTTTTCCTGGGTTCTCAGCTACTGCTGGAAGCATGAGATGTGCTATCCGGTGCATCCTGGCCTGCTTTCAGCAGTGGGAAAACATAGGTTGTAGTTGTGTACACCACCTCTGGTGCTTGGGGAATGAAGTAAGGTAAACAGCAGAGGTGATCCCAGAAGAAAAAATATATATTAGCACTGAGGTGGCTGAGCATGTTCCTTCAGTTTAGCAATCAGGGCACTGCACAAGTGTCCATCTGGGTGGCTGTACCTCCTGGATTTCTGTGGATCTGGGATCTGCCTGGTGCTTTTGGCCTGCAAACAACCTGAATGAAGCCACAGGCAGGGAGGTGCGGGAAGGATGCTCATTTTACCTGTGTGGGGAACAGTGGTCAGAGGGGCACCCACAATTATTTTCCAGCTCTCCTAATTTGAAATATTGAGAGATTTAACTAAAACTTGGGCAAGCTAAGATGAATATAATAGGAGCCATTTTTGTCTTGCATTACTGTTGTTCAGCTTACTAAATACACAGCTAGAGTGAAAGTCTGCTCCTAGAAAAAGCTTGCTTTTTTGTCAGGGTAAGGAGGAGGGAAATCCCATCTTCCCTGAGATGGCCCCTCCCATGTGTCTTTTACCCCATAGAGCAAGCTCTTACAACCTGGTCTGTAGCAGAGCAGCCCAGGGGAAGGCAATAAATCAGCACAGATTTGCTTTTCAGATAGGAGCACATATGGGAGTTAATGCTATGCTGTGTGACCAGAGCTGTAATCTGGCCTTTAACACTGTTCACAAACAATGAAACAACCTGGGGATATTCTATACCTTGGGGTGTGTTTCTGCCCTTTCAGCTGGGCTTGGATGTTTCAGGGACTAATTTTTCTGAAATCAGAAAGAGGACTCTCCTCCATGGGGCTGTCTCTCACTCTGGCATGTAAGGGATGCCTGAAATGGCTTTGTGGGGCTCACAGGATGCTCCCACTAGTAGGTTCCCCAACCCTGAGGGATGCACTAGCCAATACCCACCAAAAGATGCCAGGATAATCAGGGAGAGCTAGAAACCTGCAACCTACTAAGCAATAGCTTAGTAAACACTGGAAATTCTACTGTTTAAGCTACTGTTTGTAGCCAGTTAACCAGCTCCAAATTCATCACAGGCAGAGCCAAGCAGTAAGCTGGAGCATTCCTTTGTGAGCAATGATGCTGTGTATTAAAAATGCTCTATGGTAAAATTCTCTGCAGCAGTCTCCAGGAAAAGGTTATTTGTTATTTATCAACAACACCATATGAAAGCTAGCATGCAATACAATCATGCTGGAGCTAAATTCACAAAACTTTTCAGACCCTGGAAAAGGGATTTTGACCTTTCCTACTACTGCTGTCTTTAAGTCAGCACCCCAGCTAGTGCCTGGGAATTTGGTGGCTAATCAATGCAGTTTTCCCACCCTTCCCTGAAGGTGGGAAAGGGTGGGTGGTCAGCAGTTGGCACTGGCAGCTGCCTGTATGCTGAGGCAGTGTTTGATGCCTCAGCTCTTCCCTGTGTTTTGCTGCCCACAGGTGCCACCGCCGCTGCCTGAGAGAGCTGCTGGGAACTGTGTGGGACAACACCGGGTATGTATCCTTCTGCCACCTCCTGGGGCCTCAGTGGGTACTGGGGGGACTCTACTGCAGTGCCAGACGCAGAAAGGGAAACTCCTGCCAATGCAATTAAAAAGAAAATTGTGGGGTTTGGTTATTTTCTTCCCCACCAGATATTTCTGAAAAGCTGCAATGCCAAGCATGGCTTCTACATTTTCAAATATGTCTACTCATTCTCAACGCGGAGGAACCAGACACAGATAAAGGTAAGGAGGTAGCCAGGGGACACTGCAGGACCCTGGCCTGCCTGTGGTACCTCCAGCAGCAGTCCATCACCCTGACATCTCCCTTGTGTGTCCTACACAGAAAGAAGAGGCTGACCACCAGAGTACCATCCCCAGCCACCGGCTGGATGAGGGCAGTGCCAGGAGGGAGCCACCAGCTGGGTCAGCTGGGACAGCCCCAGAGCGCAGTGACAACAGCAGCAGTGAAGTAATTGAGTATGGGATTGTCTTCAATCCCGAAAACCGCAGCACCCCGGACATCAGCAGGGATGGTCCCAGTCCTCACCCTGGCACTGGCATGCATGCACGTGGTAGTGGTGGCGGCATGGGTCCCACCCCATCCAGCTCAGAGGGCAGCGGTGATCTGGATTTGGTGCTGGAAGTTGATGGCGGTGTTCCCATTCTTCCTCAGGGTGAACGCCCCAGCGAGGTTGTGGTAGGGAACAGGTCCAGGGTCAGGAGTGAGAATAAGGATGATGGTGCCCCCAGGGTGGTTCCGGTGGGGGGAGCCATGACTGCGGGGAGGGGGAGGGCCCCTACTACCAGAGGGGCAGGGGATGAGGGCAGTGGAGAGGCCACTGTCTCTGGCCAAGGGCAGGAGAGAGTTAAGCAGGGTACAGGGACAGGAGACATTGCTTTGTCCTCTGTCACTGAGAAGACAGAGGATGTCCAAGTGGATGCTGCAGGTGTGGATGAATACGCTTATGTCCCCGATTCAGGCAGCGTCACCATCACCCATGGGAGCCTGGGCAGCACAGACAGGGCCAATGGCTTCACCCAGGTCTCTCCAGGCAAGGATGATGAGGTAAACATATTCATTGGGAGGGCCAACATCCATATGGGGGAGCAGGTAACCACCCAGGCTGGTGTCACAGTGAGTAGGGAGAATGACAGGATCCCCTCTGTGGGAAGCAGCAGGCCCCTCCACAGGCTGGACGTCACCGTGGCACCCAGTGGAGATGAAGATGACAGCATGCCTACCCGCAGGCAGCCTGAAAGACTGGCCACCACAGCCACCCCAACCCATGGGGACAGCATTACCAGCAGCCTCAGGGACAGCCGTCTCACTGGAGAGGATGAGGAAGGTGCCACCACCATTGGTATTGATAGAGGACTGGTAACCCCTGTTCCCTGGAGAGTCACTAGTGGTGACATTACCAGCCCCACAGTGGCCAGCATCCATGGGAAAGATGATGATGAGGTGAGAGGAGAGGGGCAGAAGTCCAAGGGGAAGCAGCCAGACCATGTGGCTACCACGACCCCTCACCACAGGGATGACATGGAGGCCACTATCACAGTCCCAGCCAAGGGGGGCAGCATCCACCCAGCCGCTACCGAGAGGGACCGCACCACCCCGTCAGTGACAGCCAGCAGCCGCAAGGCAGGCATGGGCACTGTGCTCGGCAGAAGAGGCAGTGGGGAAGTGGGGACAGCCACCTCCACACCCTCCCATGTGGAGGCACGGCCCGGGGCAGGGATGAGGGTCCGTCCAGGGGGAGCAGGTCTGGACAAGACACCCAGGATGGACAAAACACCACTCCCAACTGGGAAACCCAGTGGCTGGGTGTCGAGCGGGGCCCAGAAAAGTGTTGGCAGCTATGATGGCGATGCTGGGGGCAGATCTCATGCTGTCAAAGCAGGAGCCAGCCCCGCTCCACAGGCAGGGCAAGCCACGGGCAGCATGGCAGCAGGCAGGGGCCGGGAGTGGGGGCGAGGTGCAGAGAGTGGGACAGCAGGGCTGGGGGCCGGGGGTGGCCGCCTGCCTGGGCACCATGGCAGGAGGCTGGGGGCTGGGGTGCCGGGCACCATTGCAACACTGGGCCGCAGCCGGCAGCTGGACCAGGTGAAACGTGCTGACGAGCTCCATGTCCGTGAGCGGGCCTTTTACAGCCTTGGCGGGGCGGGCGGCGGCCCCCACGGTCCCTATCCCGGCCTCGGGAGTGCTGACAGCAGCCAGTCCTCCGAGGGGGACCAGGGCAGCCACAGTGAGAGTGGACAGACGGGACTGCAGCCCTCAGGGTGGGGATCCCCAGGGTACCCCCAAGGCCGCTGGATCCAGGGGCCCCTCTGAGGCGTGCCCAGTATCCACCCCGGTAGGCTCCAGCGGTGGAGTTGGGGGGTAACTCACCGTGTTTTCCCCCTTGGCATCCCCCCTGCGGGCTCTGCTCTTGCCTGGGTGAGGGGCAGGTTGCTGGGGGGCACACAGTGCTTCACAGCCCAGGAGCCAAAAAATCACTGGTTCATGCAATCTGCTGTTCATCTGGGGGAGGCTGCGCATGGCACAGCAGCAGGAATGCACGGGTGTGCTGTGCTGGACAGCCAGGGAACAGCAGCTATGCTACAGGGCATAGGGTAGCGATCTTTGTGCACTGATGCGAAGCAACTCAAGAAGCAGTGAGAAAAAGCCTCTGTCCTCGCAGTTTCACTTCAGCCTACTGGAGAAATAAAGGCATTTCTGTACCTGTGGATCTGCTGACTCTGGTGTTTGGAATGGGACTTCAGGCAGTCACTGCCACAAGCAGCGTGCTGGGGGTGGGCTGGTCCCTGTGCATAAGGGGATTTCTGGCCCCAGCACATCCCTGGCCCTGCCATTTCTAGTGGGACTGAAATTTAGCCAACAAGCCCTACACATCACTCCCTTGGGATACCAGATCCTGCCCAGGGCCACCAGCGTCCCTGGGCTTGCTAGGCAGGCCCACAGAGCATCCTCCCCCTCAGTTCATCCACCTCCCCCAGCAAGAAGTCCCCATCATGCCCTCCTGATGGTACATTTCCTGGCCACACTGTCCTTCCAGGAGCACCATAACACTCTGACTGTGCCACCACCACTCCTGCCACTGGCCCCTGCACACAGGCCAGGCTGGGCTTCGACACACGGGAGCCATGCCCTCAGTGTTAATCAAAGTTAATCACCGTTTATGCAATTGCAGGTTGCTTTTTCTGTCTGAGAAGCTGCTAAAACAGAATCACAGAATTTCTAGGTTGGAAGAGACCTTCAAGATCATTGAGTCCTACCCATGTTCTAACACCTCAACTAGATCATGGCACCAAGTGCCACATCCAGTCTTTTTTTAAACACATCAAGGGATGGTGACTTCACCACCTCCCTGGATAGATGATTCCAGTATTTGACCACTCTTTCTGTGAAAACTTCCTCCTTAATTCTAGCCTGTATCTCCCTTGGCACAGCTTGAGACTGTGCTCAGGACACAGGCGTGTTCAGGAGCATGCCAGAGTGAACGGCACAGTGGGAGAGGCATTGAGCCTCGAGGGGAGAGGTATTGCCTCAGCACATGCTGAGGGGACTCTCCACCAGTGCTGTGCCTATCCAGGAAGCAGGCAGGAGCAGGCAGGAGCAGCCGTGATGTCAATGCAGTACTCACAGAGTACCTGCTCCCCTGCCCTCTGCACACCTGCATGCAGGGAAGTGGCAGATCCTGTTATGGCACACAGAATCACAGGATGGTTTGGGTTGGAAGGGACCATAAAGATAACTCCCCTGACACAGGAGGGGATACTACTCTCTAGACCAGGTTGCTCGAAGTCCCATCCAACCTGGCCTTGAACACTTCCAGGGATGAAACATCCATAGCTTCTTGCAGCAACTTGGTACTTAGGGATCACACATAGTTGATTCTTGCTGGAACACTAGGACACGGTGTCTCACTGGTGCTATGAGTTACCACCAGCTCTTGGGACTCTGCTTTGCTACTGCTCATGCTCTCCAGCAGAAAAAGTCAAAATTGCATGTGCCCACCATGGCCCCCACCATTAGGCCCTGGTGTCTCCGGAGAAGCTGCTCTGTGTACCTTGGTCCCAGTGCTGGAGAAACATGGAGATTTTGGCAGCCTGTGGCAGGGATTTGCCTGCAGCTTCCCAGGCTTGGGGCAGCATGCAGAAGACCCCCAAGGGCTCATGGACCTCCCATGCTGGCCCATCCAGCTCAGACTAAAAGGTGCTGCAGAGTTGCTGCCAGTCTGGGCTGGATAACTCACCCCTAGAATTGCCATGGCCCATCACACCCCCGGATTTATGGACTATGGCAATGCTCTGGGGGTCTACTGCTCGGCATGACTGCCTGGCGAATGAAGAGCATGGTTTTGGGCCTCACCGTTGACAGGGTTGGAACCAAGGAGTTTGCAGTCCCGGCATAGCGCCCAGGCCCCTCCATCCTCAGTCCTGACCATACCCTTGTCCAAAAGATTAAGCAACATCCTTAAGCGAGGGCTGGGCACCATCTAGTGGAATAAAAAGCCTGTTGCTGGGAATGGTTTGTGCCTGTTGAATGGTGCCCGGCTCTGCCTGAGGCTGGCGTGGGCACTGCTGCCATCTTGTCCCACCGCTTCCCCGAGGTCCTGGGGAGCTCTGCCTGAATGGCGAGGTCAGGTATAAAACTGGCTAGTTCAGGTATAAAGGCATACACATAAACCAGCATTACCTCCTTGCACAGTCACTGGAAAAGCACCTGGAATTTTTGTGCTGTGACCCTGGCTCTACATCTGGGAGAATACAGTATTTTGGTATGCTCACACTGAGCCCCCTGCTCAGCACCACAATGCTGCCTGGTCCTGCTCTTTCAAAGCTCACCTGCCAAATAGCACAAGAGGCCACTGAACATAAAAATTGCAAGTTTCCCTAGGAAAAGGTTTTCCCAGAGTATTGGAGCAAAGCAGGGAGCTGGTTTTCCCTTGCAGTGAAGGGTGAGCAGATGAGGGCTGGCAGGATGGGGGTTGGCAGGGTGACACTGCCCACCCCTCATGCTCAAACACCCACAGCAAACTTACAGCTGAGCTAGAGGTAGTCACCAAGTCTGGGAGACGTTCTTCTGTGGCCTTTTGCTCTTTGGCTCGGCTGAGCTGTGTGTTTTTGAGAAAAGATATTTAATTTAGACTTTTAATAAATATACATCTACATTATGTTCCTTGTGTTTTGGGTTTTGTTTTGTTTTGTTTTATTGATCAAGGGCAGCAGTGATTTATCTACAGGTGTTTCTTCACTCTGGGGCAGCAGAGGCTGTTGCTGAAGTGATTTAAGGTCATTCATCCCACCTTGTAAGTGCGTGAACCCAAGTGAAGAGTGATATGTACTGTCTGAGGGTGCAGAACAAAAAATAAATTGTCCCTAAAAATCCCAGCTACTCTTATGAATGTTAATTGTGGTCATGGGACCAGGCAAGTATGGGTACACACTGCTGCTTCGGGCCAGCAAGGTTGCAAAGAACTGCTAAAATGATTTTTAAAAGAAGCCTAAAAACCAATGGTGCACTTTGAGGAACCATTCAAATGGAGTTTTGAACTGTATATTTTCAGCTCCAGAGATCAATGCTGGCTCTATGGACAGGGCAGGTGGTGCCCATCACAAATAGCCCTTCTCAGATGTTTTCTTGGCTGTGGGGTGGTAGCGGGAACCTCCCAGAGAGACAAGAATGCCTTCCCTGTTGTAACACTGTGGTTTTTCAGAAGAGGGCAAAAGCAGACAGCCAGAGGGAGCAGTTGAAAGCAGCATCTCTCAAAAGAGACTGAGCATGGCTACAGAACAATAATGATTTTCCTTGCCACCTAATGTAGTTACTCAGTGAGATCCATCTTCATCCCACACCAAAGACCAGGGACTGACAGGGACTGAAATACTGTGCACACCCCCAGCACACCCTTCCTCCCAGTGCTCAGCCTTCCTGCTCCAAAGCTGGCAGCCAAGGCTGGGCAACTGCAGGGGGCCTGAGTACATCCAGGTTTTTGGACAATGGAAGATGCCCCAAAACCTCCATCCTTTGCCTCATTGATGTCGAGGAGGGTGCAAAGCAGCCCCAGCAATAGGAAACGTGGGTTTTATTTCTGCAGAGGAAGCCACACAGTACTGCCTGTTATCAGGGGAGTTCAAAAATGTTTTTACTTACTCTGAACAGTCTCTAATAGACCATCCACCCGCACTTCCCTGTAAACATTTTGGAAAACATATTCTGAAGTCAGAACCATTGCTCTAGTCAACTAAAGGCACATTTTGATGCATGGAGTAAAATGCAAATCTCAGTGACATAAGTAAAAATATTATTAGCCAATATTACGATCTGTCTGGGGCCTCTTTTGGTAATCCTTGCCTATTTCCCTGCATCCTCATGGTAGCTTTAGAGGGACTAGTCTGCAAGGTTTCTTTGGGGAGCAATTGCCTTGCAGCTGGATACTTTGTTAAACAACGTCCTATACTACATTCACCCTTAAATTACTTTATGTGCCTTGGTCTGATCATCAGGGTACCCCTGATTTGGAAGAGTACAGAGCTGACAATCTCTGGCCAGTGAACTGTGGGTTTTTCACACTTCCTGAGGTTGTCTGGAAAAAACTTCTCCCACCAAAAAATCCTGGCAAACTGTAGCCACTGTGTGAAAATGCCAATGCTATTCCTCCAGGTGATTAATATACCAAGCCAGTCAGTCTGGGTTCAGCTTAGGCTGTTGGCTATAATTAATAACTTTGGGAAATTGGTAGACAAAAGCTTCTTCTGTCATGAAATGGAATGCAGGCAGTGTTTCAGAGATCTTTCACCTTGCTTCAAAGCTGGCCTGCATGGGAGGAGATAAAATAGGTATGTCACCTTTCCAGCTTCCCTGCAATGTGCAGAGAAGGGGTAGAAGCTTTATCTCCCTCCCACCACCAAGTGATTAATATTTTCAATAGTGGCTTTAATTAAAAAAGTGTTGGGCCTTACAATAAAATCTCCCAGCCCCCTGCTGCCATTGTCCACCAGTGATGAGGAAGATCAAGCCTGACAGCCTTCAAATGTTTGACTTACTGAAAGGTGACCCTGCTTTTCCTCAGTGCTGCCTCCTCCCTTATCCCTGTTGACACATTCCTGCAAAAAGCCATCAAATTCCACCCCAAAATACAAGTGGGGCTGAGCCCGCTCAGCCAACCTCAGCTGTACCTGTAGAGTGAGTGAACAGGCTCCCTGCCTTAACACATGGGATATTTCATATGCCAGTAAATCCATTTGTGCTTCATCTCATTTTAAACACTCCTGCTTTCCAAAAATGTTGGGTCCAAAGAGTAGAGTTTTAGATAATAAAAATCCCAAAAGAGATCTAATGCTTGAAATAAAAATGCTAAGGTGCTCAATCAATTCCAAATACATATATAATATATGAGTAAGTAAGTACTTTGTGCCAGGCACCGAATATGAGAAATGAAGGATGTGTGTATGATGACCAAAAGCAGCCTTTGCTTCAATTTCCAGACACAGGACTGAGAAAAATGGGAAAGTCATCCCCAACCATCTTTAACCACTCAATACTTTTCCCATTACCTAAGGGCAACTGTTGTATCAACAGAGAAATTATTTTAAGAAATGATCCTCCTCATGTAGGTTGTGAGCTGAAAATATCCATATGCTATCCACAGCACTGGATGAATTTCCACCATCCTCCCCACACCCAAGAGCACTCATGGGACCAGGGGC